CATCCTGCTTCTTCAGAGCTCCTTGGCCTAGTTGGGGCAGCCCCTCCTAGGCTGTTTTCCTGGACGTCTCTAGCCTCATTCACGTATTCACGGATTCTTCCATCCATTCATTCACTCATTCGTTCATCCAATCTGCCTGCAGGGGCCTGTCCTTAGCCCCACCCTGCGCTTCACTCCCTCGTCAACTTCCTCGTCCATGAGAGGCGTGTTTGCTTCTCCACTTCTCCAGTCTAAACCGGCAAAGAAGGGACATGGATACGTGTCTATGAAATGGCATTTTCCCGTCTCTGCCCCTTTGTTTTTGCTGCCTGGCCTCAAATTCTGTCCTGTGGAATAAATTATTATTACTATTTCATTTCTGAGAACTAAATGGGGTCAGGTATGTGGTGGCCTTAGAACTACCCAGGGAATGGTGCAGTGCCGCGAACTTGCAAACTCTTCCATGGCTCTCTCTTCAGCATTGGAATATTTCAGCCCAGCTGTAGGGGGCTCTGGGGGTCCAGTGCACTGGGCTGCTACCCAAAAGTCATTCCTCAGGAGAAAGACGACGCTGTCTGGTCCCTTAAAGGCCAACATCTCAAACCCCACAAAAGGCAGCTCTACTCTACCCTATAGGGTGGCTGTGAGTCAGAATCCATTCGATAGTAATGGGGGTAGTTTAGGAATTGGTACCCTGGAAAGACCAGATAAAGAGTTCTTATTAAATGGGCGATTGACTCAGTTCTGGGAAGTATCGTCTTAGTGCTAGTCCCATTTAACAGATCGAGAAACAGAGGCTCAGAAACGTCGAGAGCCTATTGAAGGGTGTCCAGAGCTGGCACATGGGAGAGTTGGGATGGAAGTACTGAGCGTTTGGAACAGCAAGACAAACACCAACCTAGGAAGTCTGGTTTGTAATCCAGCTCTTTCTTGGCTGAGCCACAGAGGCTGGTCCCCCATGCTAAGACAGGGCTGGGCATGGTCACTGTGCCAGGTACTCACTTCTGCCCCGATCGCAACCCACCTGCTCAAAGCATCCAGGAGTGGTATCCCGCTGGACTTGTATACTCATGCCCCAGGGTCTGCTCTGCCCCCTGAATTAACTCCCCGGGCCTTCTTTTACCTGATTCGAGAAATGGAGAGGTTGTATAACTGGATATGTTGGATAATCTCGTCCAGCAGCCGGTCAGTCATGGTGTCAAAGTCTGCAAACGTGTCCATCTGGAAGGAGAGAACAGAGGAGCAGATGACCACAGGCCCATCTTCTTCTTGCAGCCTCGGGGCTTTCCGAGTGTCCGGAAGCTCTCTATCAGGGCTAGATATTGGGGTTCCATATCAAGAAAGAGAGGCCCAGGCCAGGCTACCATGAAGACACGGGGCTTCTGAAGACACCCCAGATACAGCTTGTTGCCAGCAGGTTCTGAGCAGTTCTCATTGACTCTGACACTTCTGTAGGCACATGGTCCACCATTCTTTTTTTAAAAATTATTATTAATCACTTTGTTGGGGGCTCTTACAGACCTTATAACAATTCATAAATCCATTGTATCGAGCACACTTGTACATAGGTTGCCATCATCGTTTTCAAAATAGTTTTGAGCCCCTGGTATCTGAAACAGTTAAGGTCCCCATATGACACTGACCATAAAGATGTCACAGCCAAACTCCATGGGTTACTAGATGTCTGTGACCACCCACTTCCCCAGATAGGCTTTGGGGGGACCTACATCATGGCTGCTCCAAGCTGCCACCCACTCCAGTCCCTCTGAGATGAAGAGGAACCAAAAGGCTCATGTGCTCCCACTTCTTACTCTTCCTCACCCTCCTGGAATAAAGGCAGAAGTCTAGACCATCCAAGTACATGGGCAGTGATGGGTGGAATGATTCCCCCTCCCCCTCCCCAATCTTTGTGTCTCTAAAGCATCCTATGGCTCTCGGGTCGGAGACGCCTGTGAGCCATGCTTCCAGCGGCCCTTCATCTCTTATGTCCTTGTGGTCCTACCTGATTCTTCTCAGACATTAAGAAGTCGAGTTTTCCTCCAGGGAGTCCCAGTTCAATGAAAGTCTTTACCAGCCGTAGATCTGCACTGTTCCCTAGAAACGACAGAGAACCCCACCCCAGTGCCAGGGTTAGGCACAGAAAAGGGGACCCCTAAGGACTCAATGCCCCTCTCCCCCCAGTCCCATTGTCTGTCGACATCTCCTTTCTTGCCTCCGATATGCACACAGAGTCTGGACCTTTCCAATGGCTCAGACGCAATGAAACCACTCCATTGTCTGTCAAGTGGACTCTGTGAGTATTCCATATGCAGATGCAGCTGGAGGCAGAACACCCCTCCTTTCTTCCTCCGTCAGTTCAGGTTGCCTCAAACAGGTTGCTTGGGGTGCCTTCTAATAGCCAGTGCGGGATAATCTGGGAACTGCCACTCTCCCCTCCAGTCTCGTGCTGAATACAAGACTACCTCCCCAGCCTTGTCACATTCAGGAGATCCTCAAAACAAGCCAATCAGGATGGGTCAACTCATCTTCAAGAGAATAAAAATCATCTTTGGAAACAGGAGTCATAAGCATGCAACCCCCTAGGGGCAGGAATGAAAGCTAAGGACCGCGAAGTTGCTGCCGGTCTCAGAGGCACCAAGACCACCTAGTGTTGTGATGGTTAAAGCACTTGGCCAACAACCAATGAGCAGTGGTTCAAATCCACCGGTCACCCTGTGCCAGGAAGGTGAAGCAACCTGCTTCGGTAAAGAGTTATAACCTTGGAAACCCATGGAGAAACCTGTACTCTCTCATAGGGTCGCTATAAGCTGGGATCAACTGGATGGGATTGGATGTGGTTTTAAGCCTCTGCAAGAAAAGGCTCTGAGCCTTTTCCTCGACTCAAAGCCATGTGCAGTAAGTGAAGAAGTTCGTGATAACGAATCTGTTTTCCATGGAGGTTGGTTCAATCCTTTCAATGTGAGGGGAAATTTACATAGCATTAAGGGTAAGTATGAATGGACCACGAGTTGAATGTTCTTAACCGAATCATTACGGATCCTATAAAACTCTAAGGCGTGTGGGCATAGGCCCCTTAAATGAGAGAGGTAACCTGTGTCTGGTATCAGTTGTTTCCTGAAGTCTTGTGGCTCAGGTAAGGACATATTAATTGAAAGCTCAATCTTCTGATCAAAAGAGTATTAATGGTTCTGCGAAGGTGCTCACAGACCGCTTCCCATACATGCATGATACGTGGGGTGGTGGGGAGGCAAAAAGCAATGGGCTGACCAGATTCATTCTTTTAACAAGGAGGCCAAGAGTCTTGATTCATTTGGATTTAATCTCATCTCCATGAGAAAGCTGCATTCTGGCCAGTGGAGAATTGGACTGTGGTCCAAGGAGCGGATGAAGACAATATTCGGCTGAGGAGTGGCAACGCCGCTCTTTATCTGTTTTGAGTGCCTTTTGATCAGAAGGGCCACATCAAAACTACGATGTCTTCACTAGCCTACAGTTGCTGAAGACAGAGCACGTCTCAAGCTTGAAGCCTTATGAAAACAGGAAGATCCAAACTGTCGTCAAATGATTCTCTTTTCATTGAATTTATTTCTATCATTTTAAATGGCTTGCCTTTCCATCCTGGAAAACAATTGTCATTATTTTATAGATGGTAATTTTATTAGTTATGCTGTGCAGCTGTAATAGAATTACCACAAGTGTGTGGCTTTAACAAACAAACATGTATGTCCTCCCGGTTTAGGTCTGAATTCAGTGCCCTAGCCCCAGGGGAAGGTCTTCTTAATGTCTGTAGGGGAAGGCCCTAATCTACTACACTCAATGTCTGTGGGTTCTGCCTCCCGCTTCAATCTTCCTCTGGGTCTACGAGGCATTCAGCACAGGAGGCCTGGGTCCACATGATGTGGACCACTCTTAGTTCTTCTTCCTTGATGATACGGGAGTTCCTCTGGGCTAAATTATGACATAGGATTTGGTTGGAGAGTTCGTGCAATTCTGAGGTATGACAGTGCAGGCAGATTGCTGGCCTTACCGACTGAAGGCAAACTGCTTCTGGCAATCACTAAAAATTGGAATCAAATAAAAGGCATCAGTCAGATCAAGAGCTGCAGACCAGGTACATGGAGATGTATTGGTTTGCTCAAGTAATAAAACCACATCTGTGACGGAAGCTGCAGTTAGAATCACCGTCTAGTTAAATTTATGATCATCCACGTTTTCATTCTCCAAGTTCCACCTCTTTGTTGCGAAAGCCAATTAGGAGAGGGAAACACATGAGATGACATCCTCACCGGTGCTTCCTGCGTCAGGGATGCAGTGTGGGAATTCTGCCAGTTTCTGAACATGCCTATTCCAACGATGCCTTCCGGAACTAGAGAACACATTGCACAGTGGGCTAGGAAACCCACTGGACACACTGGGAGACCAACCTGAGCGACTATTCCAAAGATCATAGGACCTCCGTCCTCTCCCTCTGATTGGTGGGCCACAGTGATGTTTTGGGTCTCCTGGAATTAGTGTCAATAGGGAGCCAGTGTCCAGTAATCTCTGAAAAGTCTGATCATTTCCTTTGCCCCACTGAGCAGTCATGCTCCCTAAGTGTGGTAGATTCCTTCGGAGAAGGCTTGGAGGAAGATGAACAGTATACACATTTGGCCTTATAGTGAGGTCTCGCCTCAAGGGGGCTTGGCAAGGGACTGTTGAATCCATAAACCGGCTCAAGTTTGGGAATTGCTAGAGGGGCAATGACTCTCTACTCTGGAGATGTGCATTAGACTGCAGTTCACTTGACCTAAATTTCTTTCACTTGAACATATCAAATAGATATTTAGGAGACTTCCCAGCTGGCATACTCGTAGATGGTATACTAGAAGGCCCTCAAGGAGGTGGATTGACTTCGTGGCTGCAACAATGGGCTCAGGCCTTGGAACAACTGGGAGGTTGGCACAGGACCAGGCAGGGCTTCATTCTGTTGTGCACTATGAGTGGGAACCAACTTTGTGGCACCTAATGTCAACAACAACAACAACAACAACGTACTCCCAGATGCACCTTGCCTAAGTAGGCAACACCAAGTCCAGGCAAGAATGGCTACTCTGATGACTGCTTTGACTCTGCTGTCCATGAACCTCACTCACCCCATCTTTGTTGGTGAGGTAGCTGCTTCCCCTGGCCCCGTGCCCCCATGGGACCCCAGCAGCCCCATGGTAGTTAAGTGTTTCAGGGAGATATCCCTGTCAAATGGAGTTATTAAGGGTGCTAGGGCCCTTCGAACATGTGTTCCTCACTGTAGTGGTAAAAGGTGGGTCCTTTGGGCATCCCCTGTTTATATTATGGGTCTAGCCTTACATATCCACTCTAAATGCCAATTTCCCTAAGCCTTTGCAGACCCCCATCACTTCATCACGTACAAAGTAATGACTTCAAATGGATTGTTCAATACGTTGCTAACTAGTCCCCTAGGCTATCTGTCAGCGGTTCTCAACCTGTGGGTCGCGACCCCTTTGGGGGGTCAAATGACCCTTTCATAGGGGTTGCCCAATTCATAACAGTAGCAAAATTACAGTTATGAAGTAGCAATGAAAATAACTTTCTCCACAACATGAGGAACTGTATTAAAGGGTCAGGCCCTTAGGAAGGTTGGGAACCACTGCTATGCGTCCTTGTGTCAAGTGCGGACACTTACTGGTACTGGCCACAGGAGAGAGAAGAACGAAGCACACCATATGGAAGCCCACCACACCGCGGCCTTGCCATTCCATGAGCGCAAGAAACAAGTGACCACAACTTCCGACACGTTCGTTCGTCTCTCTAATTCTTAATTATTTGAACAAACGAATCTGTCTTGGAAGCAGTAACGCCAGCGTGCTCCTTAGAAGTAAGGGTAGCTAGACTTCACCTCGGGTACTTCGGACTTGTTCTCAGGAGAGACCGGTTCTTGGAGAAGGCCACCCTGCTCAGTCCGTGAAGAAGAGCAGGGCCCTCCATGGGTTAGATTGGCACACTAGTTCTAACAATGGACTCAAACATAGGATTACTTGCGAGGATGGGGCTGCGTTTTGTTCTGTTGTACGTCGGTTCAAAGAGGCTAAACAAACTTTTGCTTGGTGGATGGACAGCTGATCAAAATCAGTTCCAGCAGCACTCAAACTTGTATACAGCGCTGCCTTTTGAGGGAGGCACTGGTTCTAGAACTTACCATCGAGGCCATGGACGCAGACAACCAGGTGAATCCCATCTTCCAAATTGTCTTCCTCTTCCTCTGGTGGGAAATACGGCACGTCAGAAGCTAGTACGGATAAGTCACTGTACAGAAATCCTTCAATCTTCAGCTCTTTTTTAAATTTTTCTTTGGCCTGATAGAAACTGGAGAATACACCAATTAATCGCATGCCACGCCATGTGTCCATGCGGGAGAGGAAATGAGTCGGGCTTAGATGGGAAGATAATGAAGGAATGCAAGACGGCAAAGACAGACGATGAGACCTCAGGGGGGAGAGAAGCAGCGCCCCTCCCCCAAACCCAAAGACCCAGCTGCTTTCGCTTCCATCCGTTTCTTGGGGTCCCTGCATTGAGTCTGAGACTGGAGGGCAGCATAGCTAAGGGGCTCTCCAATGCCAAGGGTCTCTGGAATCTTTCAAAAGCTCTTCCAAGAGCCCAAAGGACCTAACTTGGCACACCTGACCTCTGGTTTACCTCCTCCTGCTTGTGCAGCGCCCTCCCTGGCCATTCCCTCAAATGACACGCTTCATACGCTGAGAGGTCTGTGAAAGCTGGGGCCGCCAGAAAGCAAAAACTCCAGTCGTCCCCAGTACAGTACGAGATGATAAAGGGTGAACTCGGCAGCCTGGCCCAGGCGGTGGACAGGTTGCCAGACTCTGACAATCAAGGCATCCGGTCAAGCTCCGGCTCTATGGGTTTCCCATGAACTCCCTGGACAAAACACATTATTGGACTTTGCTGCCTGGGACGCCTTCCCTACCTGGCTGTCCCGTGTCACCCTCTGCCTGGTAAACTGACAGGGGAGTGGTGAAGTGGCAAAGCCATTAAGTGACAACCCAGCTCTGACTCCTCCAAGCAGTGGGCAAACCACCTCTCCCCTCTCTGCTCAGTTTCCTCATCTGTGAGAGGGAAGCAGAAATCTTGATCGAGTTCATAAAGTGACCTAGTCCATGAAGTGATATGATCTGTGTGGAATGCCGAGTGCAGTTGTGGAAATACAGCAAGCAGTACAAAGATCTATGCGCAGTCCTGTTCTGAGGATCATCATTGTCAACCCAGAGGGAACGTTCTCTGGGAAGCTTCTCCTGGCCTCCAGCCCAATCAGCCCCATAGCTTCTTGACTCCACTGTAGGCCAAAGAGCCATCACACTGACCAACAATTGTCCTCACTGGTCTCTCGTGGCTCCGTCTCCACCAGCACAACGGCCAGGGCAAACCACGCCATGCAGACCTTCAACAGGGCCTGGCATGGATTTGTTGAAGCAGCCAGGGTCCTAACTGAAGTGGTTGGGGAGCAGGGATAGAAGAGTAGGTTAAGCACTGGACTGCTCACCCAGACAGTGATTTGAATCTACTAGCCGATCTGCAGGGGAACATGAGGAAGGCTGTTCCTGGAAAGATTTGCAGTCTCAGAAAACCTGGGGAACAGCTCTTTTCTGTCATGTAGGGTCACCAGGAATAGGAACTGACTGCATGGCTGTGGGTGGGTTTGGGGTATGTATTAGGTGTTGTTCTTCCTTGCAAAAGCAAAGGTCCTTGTGAAGTCATTTGGTCTAACATTGCTTTTACAGTTTCCTGAAAGCATGCTAACAGCCAACAGATACAACAATTGACCTCTGCTCACCTGGGGAAATGGAGGAAGAAGATGACACAGAAATCAGAGAAGGAAATGGTCTGCAGGTCTAAAGAGAGCCATGAATGACCAGAAGAACTAGACGGTGCCCAGCTACCATTGCAGGATAATTTTGAACAGGGACTCAATACATGGATCTCGAACAAAAAGAAAAATTATAGAACTTCAAATTCCAGACTTACTGGGTCCAAGTAGAAGAGAGGTACCATGCAATCCAGAAATTATTACAGAACCAAAAGGATCCTATGAAGCAGACTTTAAGTTTAACAGTTAGGTCTATTGATTATGTATGTTTTCCCTTCACATTCCATTCACATGGGATTTTATGCATCAAGAAAAAACTACAAGACACAGACAAAACTAGAGAACAGTATGCTTGGCAAGTTCAATCTCACAAAGATAATATTTCCTATCACCATCGTAAGCAAACACAAAGAAGAATAAATGTGGTTTATACACCAATGGACAAGACTTTGATGACTACATTGCGGTCAGGTCAGAGGGTGGGAACGGGCAGAGGGGAGGGAGGGAGCATGGGGGAGGGGAAGGATGAATGGAGGGTTGAACAGGACAGTGATGTTGATTTCATTTCTTGAGATGGACTGTACAATATACATGGGTTCCTTTTTTTTTTTTTTTTAATTGCCCCGGATTCCTTATCCCTCAACATTAGTGGATGGAGTGGCTTACAAATATAAAGAGGAGGAAAAGTACACATGAAATAGACTTGGAGTCTTCAGTGACAAACCAGTTCATCTCAAACAAACAACACTGACTGCTTTGAAAGGATGCTCTGTAGGAGCTCAAAGGAACAGCAGTCACCGGAAAGCACAGCGCAGGACCTGCGTGGGCTCAGTCTGGGTGGGAGGCGGTGGACCAGTGGGGCAGAGAGATTGACAATGAAGACACCACGGGGAGATGACAGCCCTTGGCCATCACCTGGGCACGCAGACATTACCAAACGGCCTACCAGTGGCTCTGGGTGCTTCACCAGCAAGAAGTCTACTTCTCTCGGCCACCTCTTTGGGGAATGTTACAAATAAGCAAGTTCCTGTTGTGATTTGTCACTTGTTACTAGAAATAACATGTTTGTTAATTGTGTGAACGTAATGGGCTGCTTGGGTAAAATGATTTAATAGTGTATTTCAGTTGCTGTGTGGTTCATAGTGGAAGGAGCAAAGTACATACAGACCCAGCCTGGGACTAAGGGTGGGTTTCTGACCTTGCCAACTTCACAGCAGCTGCTAGCACCACCACTCGGCAGGGGGCCGAGAACGTAAATCTGATGAAGATCCCATGCTCCCCAAAGACCCTTCGAAACTGCCACTTTTGAGGGTGAAAAACTGGCAGGGGGATGACACTCTGAAGAGGGTTATTGGTGATAATCACAACTGAACAGAACTTGAGGGTCCACCGCTGAGGGCATATAATAAATAAATGCACATCTATAAAATAGAACATCATTTTAAGCATTAAAATGATGACAACAGATTGATCAACAGAGCAAGAGCTTTACAAAATGCCGTAAACATTTTTAAAAACAATATATTTTGTACGGAATTATCCCCCATTTGGAGAAAATGCACATCTGGATATGGATACACAGTGGGGATGAACAACAGAAACATGGGTGAAGGGAGACCGTGGATAGCATAAGATATGAAAGTAACAATAATTTATAATTTATCACGGGTTCATGAAGGCAGGATGGTGGGAGAGGGAGGGGAAAAATGAGGAACTGATACCAAAAACTCAAGTAGAAAGAAAACGCTTTAAAAATGATGATGGCAACAAATGTACAAATGTGCTTGACACAATGT